ACCGCCTGCAAGAATTGTCACAGCATCAGCAGCACACCCAGTTCTTTCAGTGTTCACACCATACTGAGTGCCTGCATCTCACTCACAACTCTGATCATAAAGAAGCCGTAAGTAAAGGCCGACGGCCAAACAGGACTTGACATTTAGTACTGTTTTAAATGCAACTTACTGCATAAGAAACCGCCAGGTTCTGTCTAAGCTCATATGTCAAAAGTGCTTAAGCATTCAAGTGACAAATTAAAGCAATGGTGAAGACCAATTTCCGGTTGGTTTACACCACTAAGTTTTTGTAAGTAGCTTGTAAGTACTTTGAAGTAGCTAATCCTAAAGAATCACATTTTTCTTCCATGCTGATCATCAAGATTTCAACAAAAAACTACTTAAATACCAGACAGTTACAAGAAGAAACTGCAGAAAGGAACTCCAGTAACGAAAAGGAGCTCTGAACAGAGCTTTGCAGTATTTAACCTAAATAACCCCAACTACCTGTACAAAGTTAATAAAATATTTCACTGCATTAGGATGGACAAGTTCACATTTTAGTCTTTTCCAGACTAGTTTTCGGTGGCTCTTCTGCTTGAGTAAATAAAGTAATTTCTCTGACCACAAGCCCAACAAGATCCAAATTTCTGCTAACACCTAAGCAATTTGCATGCATCAAACACGGAACCCATTCTAAAACAGACTTGTAAGTGTCGTGCCAAAAATTCACCAAAACTGAAAACTGCCCAGACATTTAATTCCTGTACTCTCGCAAAGTCTATGTGCACAGTGAGATCAGCCTCCTGACACGAGGGTTTAAAGCAAACATGTTTTCCTGCACTTCACAGCCTTCTGAACAACCCAAAGCAACGCGGGCAAACTTGCACCTTTGGCATAGTATTTACACGTTGTCATCCAAAAAAAAGGAAAAAAAAAAACTAAAAAAACCCCAAACATGTAACCCAGCATTCCGACGAGGTCCCTGGTAGATTATAAACTCCTCTGAGCTCTGTTACGCGGTGAGAGAGCATTTTAAGCCGCAAAGCAAGCGAGGAAGCGGCCACTCAACACACCGGTTCTCTGTTGGCTGCTCCTGCAGCGGGACAGCAACACCAAGCACGGCTCCACAGCACCGAGCCGAGCCTGGCGAAACACCCCGCTGCCCGGGACCCCCGCAGGGGACCGGCCCTTCCCCGGGGCCGGAACGCGCCGTCCCGCCCGGCCCCAGCAGGGCGCGGCCCGCCCGGGAGGAACCGCTCCCTGCCCAGGAAGGGGAGAGGGGGAAAGGGGAGCGCCCCGACCCCGCAGCGCCGGGGCCCGCCCCGCACGGCCCTCACCCTCCGCGATGACCCGCTTGATGCGCAGCTTCATCTCGCCCATCTCCACCGTCTGCCCCACGAAGTCGTTCTGGTCGCGGCTGGCGGCGCCCAGCGAGCCGGGGCCCGCCAGGAAGTCCAGGGCGGACTGGAAGAGCGACATGGCCCCCCGGCAGGCACTGCCCGGCGGCGGCCGGGCGCGCAGGGGCGGGAGGGGACGGGGCGGGACGGCACGGGCTGGGGCGGCGGTGGCGGCTCGCCGAGCTGCGGGCGGGGACGGCGGCGGACCCTGCGCGGGCCGGGCCGGGCCGGGCCGATCCGTGTCCGCCCTTCCCTCCGCCTCGCTCCGCTCCCGGCGCCTTCCGGGCCCGCTGCGTCACAGCGCTCAGGGCCCGCCCCCCGCCCTGCGCCGGGAACGCGCCCGAGCGCGCGCCCGGGCCCGTTCCCCTTCCCGAGTCCCTTCCCGATCCCTTCCCGATCCCTTCCCGATCCCTTTCCCGATCTCCTTCCTGTTCCCCTTCCCTTCCCCTTCCCGAGCCCGTCCCCCTTCCCGAGCCCCTTTCCCTTCCCCTTCCCGCTCCCGCTCCCGCTCCCTCTGGGAGAGCAGCTCCCCTTCTCGCCCTGCTGCCCGCGGCGTTTCGCCCCGGGAATCACACAGCACGCCGACTCCGAAGGGACCCATCAGGATCACCGAGCCCCGCACGGGACCCTCCCCAAGTGTCACACCCACACGAGCGCTGTCCAAGCTCGTGTCCAGTCCATGGATTTTTTTTTTTTTTAATTATTATTTATTTTTTAAAAGTTGTTTAAGGCGGAAAGATTTAATCCATTTGTACGCTGGCGTAATTCCCGTTGAAAAGCAGAGGAAAACAAGGTTGTGCCGAGTCCGCATTCCGGTTCCACTGTTACTAGTTTGCATTCCAGCTCTGACCGCCACACGGGACTGCAGCACGGTGGTGGAGCTGCTCTCCAGCCTGCCCAGTTTAACCCTCGTCTAGTGCTCGTCCTTCTACAGCTTCGCTCAGAATGAACCACAAGTCATTCTGGCCAAAAATCTCAGGTGGGGAAGGTGGTATAGAAGGAATTTCCTTCTGTGTCATAAGGTCAAGAACAGGGCAGAGCCATAAACTGGGGTGCCATAAATGAAAAGTTCCTTTTGTCTGTTAGTATACAGTAAAGATATGCCTTTTAATTTCCATTACAGTAATTGCTTTCAGCTTCTTAGGGATTATATTAAATAGCACTGAATTAGTATTCTATTTTGCATTTTATCCAAAATATAGCTAGAAAAATGGCACACATAATAATATCTCCATAGCTCTAGATAGGGTTCATTAGGTTCAGCACAGATGAAAATCTACTTTAGAAGCACATCTCTGAGAGAAGATTAAATACTTCTTCAATGTTTATATTTTTTACTGCAACTGCTCTTGTGATGTACTCTGAAAACATGAGTCATAAAGATAATCCTCACACAAAGCAAACAGAAATTTGACCTTTCTTAATTTAATATGTTCATTTTGTGTGCAGAGACCCTCCATTTCTTCTGAGATTAAAAATGCACAAAAGACACTTTTACAGCCAAGCTGGCACTTCTGTCCATTAATTTTCTTTCCTAATTGCCTGTTCTAGATTTGAGTGAAACCATGCCCTTCTGAAAGATTTAGGCTTAATTCTGCCTCTCACAATCCAGCAAGAATAACCATCTTTGGGAAGTGCCTCCTCAAACTCATTATTTGAGAAAGCTCTTTTTCAGAGCAGGCACTAATACGTCCACATGTTAAACCCAAGTAATTTTGTGCAGTACAATTTTCTCATTCATGTATCTCCTTTTATGAGCTGGATATCTCTACCACCTTCTACTTTGGATGAAGGTGCAAAACACAATGCATAAACTGTTGTGTTCTTCTTCTGATGTGCACTTAAATTCTTTTTTTCTTATGAAGATTATGATCTGCTATATACTGGGAGATTTTTACAACATATTGTAACCACATATTTCAAATAAGACCCTGTTCACTTGATATTAAAATAGCAAGTTTAATAAAGCAAAAGTTGTAACATTTGGAAATAAAGGTATTTCAACTGATCCCTGGATGGAAATTACAACTGAATTTATTTAATTTTTCAGCAATTTTCCATCTTAAAGCTTATGTCTGGTTTGGGAATCCATTTTTATAATTGAAGTTCTAGTTTAAGTCATTCTTTTCTAGAATGGTGATGAGAGAACATGCCAATAATTAAAAAAAAGATTATTTTACTGGTTCTGTGGAGTAATAGTTTTGTCTCTGGACTAGACACTACAAACTTATCAGAGGTATCTTTTCTCTATTTGCTAGTTTCAAACAAGGCATATGTCTTTTTTCTGTTTTTTGGGAAATTTTTAACACAAAACAAAGCTACCCTCTATAAATAAAATTAATTCACTAGTCATTAGAAAACTCGCTAAAATTTTTAGACAGGATCTCTAGAGACTGAATGTCCACTGTACCTGTTCCAATCCCTATTTAGGGATATCTTCTGCAGATGGTGCTCCTGGATACTTTGGAACACCAATCAATGACAAGGGGAAAGAAAGTTTAGTAGTCTATCCAATTCCTTGAAGAAAAGGTCTTTAACTTTGAAGCCAGAAAGCAAGGTGAAAGAAGTCTTGCAGGAACGTGTTCTTACTGTCTGAAGTACACTGTGGGGGTTTTGTGAGGGGGGGGTTCTTCTGTGAGAAAAAAAGCATCACAGCTTCTTAACAAAGCTGTGTTCAACTGTGGAAGGATGAAGTATTACGATAGTAAAATTTATACCAGCTGTAATTGAGACAGTTGTAAAATTGAGACTATATACCCATTTACTGAAATTGCTATCAGTTTAACGTATAGAGATCTCTGCAATCCCTTGCCATATAAACTTTGTACCACTATTTTATTAATGTATTTTAATATTTTATTAATTTGACATTTCAGAATTAGCAAACTGCATTACTATTTCCTAGAAAACACCCATTTGAACAAATTTTAATAAAGTTAAATGCTATGCTTAGCCTACCAGGCCATATGCATACTAAGCAGGATTAGTTTCAGGCAAAGATAGGGTCCAGGGTCCTGTGATAAAAATTTGTCATCAAATAAAAAAAATAATAATAAAAAAAATTTAAAAAAAAAGGCAAAAAATGCCCACAAGAGAATTGCATGTGGTTTTCTTATGGAAAAAAATAAGTAGCTCATCTGTAGGGCACAAGGACTGCAGCACTTACTGGGCTGGATTGGGTTAACTGTACCACGGCAGGTAAGACACAGCTGTACAGTGGCCTCACTTCATCTCCAGTCTATCCAAGGAGCAATGGATTGATCAATCTTTGCAGGAAAGGAAGCAGCCTTTTAAAACTTGCTTGAGACTAATGTTATGTTCAACTACTTGCATTTGATTAGACTTACCAGTGAAGTCTTTATTTTTGCCTTAACAGGGGCGAGGTAACCTTACTGCTTAGTTGTCTATCAAAATTCCCTGGTATTAAGAGCAGCTACAACATTCCAACATTCTGGATTAGTTACCAATTTAATGATAAATTTGCTTGTCAGAATTGCTAATTTCCATATACAAGCCTTTTCATTCTCTCTAGTCCTCGGAGAAAAGCTAAATGATTTTGCATTCTCTCTCCATTTATGCTTTCATCCACAGAATTAAAAGGAAAGTCATGTCCTCCAAGTGCTTTTTACAACTTTTATTTTTTTTACATTTCAGAACTTGTCAAATTAAACTTTATTGAAAATTTATACAGCCAATTCCAGTTAGTGCAGATGTGGGAAATTCAAGTTTGAGAAGGTGTAACTATAAATTAATAAAAGAATTACAACATACGAGTTTATCAGTTTTCACAGATGTGTAATGTTAAAAGCAAACAAACAACACTGCCTCATAGCTAGGTATTTTTGGGGTTACAGTGACCATTGATAAGAAATGGGTATTTTTGCCAATTTGCTTAAACTTCACTAAAGCACTTTAACTAAAGCTATTGTCAGGGAAGACCTGGCCCAAACAATTATGGCAGTTTGTGCTATTTCTGCTTTCCTCTCACAGGGAGCTCTTGAAGTTACCTCTCCAACTTCATCCCCTTCAGTACAAATTTAATTGGGTAAGTAACAGTGGGCTGCCCTGCCAGAAAAGGAATGGCATCAACTTCCACAACCATCTGTGCACTTTATATCTGATCACAGTCAAACGCTTACACTGTTCCCATGTTCCCAAAGACAAAGCTGAAGTCTATATTAGATAGATCTGCATGCATTAGAAGTGTCATCATGGCTGGGCTTTGCAAATGAAGATTTGAGAAGAGCTCTACCCACACTTGCTACAAGCGCGCTGATGGCTGAAAAGGCCAATGCGAGATAGACAAGTCCGGTTGCAGAAGGCACAGCAGAAAGACTCCCCAGGTGATATCGACGAGATGCGATTCTTTCTGCGTTGTCTTTTCTCCTCGAGAGTGATCCTGCGTGTGTTCTCAAAAGCAGCAGCAGCGTTATAGATGGTGTGTCTCCAGGCCTCCAGACTGGAAGCCAGGGTAGACCAATGGTGGTGATCAATATGGCCAAGGCTGAGGGATTGTTTCAGGCAGTCCTTGTATCTCCTCTTCGGGGCTCCTCTCTTGCGGCACCAGTGGCAAGTTCCCCATGGAGCACGATCTTAGGGAGGCGGCAGTCCTGCATCCTGGAGACGTGCCCTGCCCAGCGCAGCTGTGTTCTCAGCAGCATGGCCTCAATGCTCGTGACTGCTGCCTGTTCAAGGACAGACGTGTTGGTCACACAGTCAGTCCAGGGGATGTTTAGAATTGTACGGAGGCAGCGCTGATGGAAGCGTTCTAAGAGACGCAAGTGGTGGCGGTAAATGACCCATGATTCGGACCCATATAAAAGAGTAGACAATACAATGGCTCTGTAAATGCTGATCTTTGTACTTTTCTTCAGGTGTTTGTTTTGCCACACTCTTTTATGGAGTTTACCAAAAGCTCTGTATGCCTTTGCTAACCTGTTGTCTATTCCTGCATCAATCTTACCATCTGAGGAGATGATGCTTCCCAGGTAATTAAATTGCTGGACTGATTTGAGCTCTCTTTCAGTAATAGTGATATGGGGATGATGGGAGACTTCCTGAGGTGCAGGCTGATATAAAACTTCTGTCTTCTTCAAGCTGACTTCCAGTCCAAACAGCTCAGCAGCCTCTGCAAAGCAGGATGTTAGACGCTGCAGAGCTCCTTCTGTGTGGGCGACGAGGGCAGCATCATCAGCGTAAAGCAGCTCACGGATAAGATAATTTAAGGTCTTAGTGGGGGCCTTCAGTCACCTTAGGTTGAACAGGCTCCCATTGGTACGATATCGAATGTAGACACCGTTTTCATCATCGAGGTCTGCCCTGGCCCTTTGGAGCATCATGCTGAAGAAGACTGTGAATAAAGTTGGTGCAAGAACACAGCCTTGCTTCACACCATGGGCTATTGGAAACGGCTCAGAAAGTGCACCTCCATATCTGACTTGGCCACGCTGGTCCTCATGAAGCAAGATGATCATTTTGAGGAACTTGGGAGGACATCCTAAACGTTCCAGAATCTGCCACAGACCTTTCCTGCTCACAGTATCAAAAGCATTGGTGAGATCAACAAAGGTAACATAGAGTCCTTTGTTCTGTTCCCTGCACTTCTCTTGCAGTTGTCTGAGAACAAATACCATGTCTGTGGTACCTTTGTTGGCTCAGAAACCACACTGGCTTTTAGGTAGGAGATCTTCTGCTATGGCAGGCATTAATCTGTTCAAAAGGATTCTTGCAAGGATTTTACCAGCAATGGAGAGCAGAGTAATACCTCGGTAATTTGAGTAGTCTGATGTATCTCCTTTCCTCTTGTACAAGGTGACGACGACAGCGTCACGAAGGCCTGAAGGCAGTTCACCTCGTTCCCAGCAGCGCACCACAAATTAGTGACACTTAGCATGGAGTGCTTGGCCACCATGCTCCCAGATTTCAGGTGGGATTCTGTCAACCCCAGCTGCCTTGCCGATTTTCACCTGTTGTATTGCTTTAAGAGTTTCTCCCATGGTGGGGGCAGTGTCCAGTTCAGTTTTCACGGGTTGTTGTGAAATGTACTGCATTGCAGAGTCTTGAACTACACGGAGTACATTGGTCACCTGAGTCTCACCCTGGAGATGACAGTTTCATTTGGCAGCATCCTGAATGACCAAGCAGCCTTTTTCAAGGAGAGCACTGCTTGCTCCACACAGAGAGGGCCTAGAAAAGGTGGACTAACCAAAGCTCATCTCCATCCTTCACCCTGTTGGTTAACCACAGCCAACGGGCATCTTCTGATGCAGTCAAATAAAGATTAAGAGTAAAAGGCATACACCTGCCTCCAAAGGTGTGTCCAAATTGACACTTGCATGCTGGAACATCAGAACCATGCTCGGTACTGTGGACAGTGGATATCCTGAGTGTTGCTCTGCTCTAATTGCCCATGAACTGTCACGACTCAACATTGATATCACTGCTCTCAGTGAAGTTGGTCTCCATGAGGAAGGCAGCCTTAGAGAACATGATGCCGGTTATACACTCTACTGGTCAGGTAAACCCAGATCTGAAAGGCATCTCTCAGGAGTTGGCTTCATGATTAAAAACTCTATTGCCTCTAAACTCAAAAATCTGCTGACTGGTCATTCTAATTGCATTATCTCCCTACGCCTCCCACTACACAACAGGCAACATGCTGTTCTCTTTAGTATATTTGCCCCAACCCTCCAAGCTGACCCTGCTGAAAAAGATAAATTCTACAACGACCTACGCCGTCTTATCCAAAAGGTTCCTGCAGATGATAAGATCATTATCCTTGGTGATTTCAATGCCAGAGTAGGAAAGAACTCTGAAGCCTGGAAAGGAGTACTAGGCAAGCATGGTGTTGGAAACTTCAATGATAATGGTCACCTTCTGCTAGAGTTTTGTGCTGAGCAGCAGCTTACCATCACTAACACTATCTTTCAGCAGAAAGACAGTCTGAAGACAACCTGGATGCATCCTAGGTCCAAGCACTGGCACCTCATTGATTATATCTTGGTCTGACAGAGGGATATCCGCGATGTTCGTCACACCTGCGTGATGCCTAGTGCAGAATGCCAAACAGATCATTGCCTCGTGCGCTGTAAACTTAACCTCCCCTTAAATTCAAACCTAAAAAGGGCGGCATTCCTAGAAGGAGACTTCAAGTTAACAGTCTTCAAACAGCTATTAGAAGTGTAAGGCCACAATGAAAGTTAGAAATCAAATACAAATGATTTTGAGTATGACTATTAACTACAGTATGTCATTTAAGATACAATCTTTTCTTGAACTGATTAAAATTTTGCCTGGTTATTAAGCCATGTGTCAATAACATGAAACATTTTGAAAAGCTTAAAACACAAGTTTTTTGGGTATTTCCCATGTAAATCCTTCTCTTCCAAAGTGCCCATAGCATGCTGTTTTTTGATAGATTGGCTTCTTCAAATCCAGGTCCCTAAATGAAAATTAAAAACCAAAAATGAGTCTTACACTTAACTCTACTCTAATGTACATTATGATATGGAAACATCAGAAGCATAATCAGTATCATCCCCAGAAGAAAGACAGTAAAATCTAGGTGTCTTTTCTTCCCCCCACAGACTTACTGAAAGAAAGACAGTGAGCTGATGGTTTGAATTTTAAAGTGACTAGAAATAGGTGTCTTCCCGAGTCTCAGAGGTGCAGTCAGAATGCAGTTAGGCTTTATAAACATTGCAATGCAGAAGCATTTTAATTGGAACCAAGTTCAGCTATACCCAGGCAAGCATTAACGTGTTTTCTGTTATTTCAAGTGTAATATGGAACATTTTCTAATGCTACTGGGTAGAAAGACAATGATCTCAAAAGAAGCTGCCAAAGATAATGATCTAGTAGATTAGGTAACTGTGGAGGTTTAACTGCTTATGTAGATACATAAGTCACTATTTAGAGTAGAGCTTAAGATGACATAATTATGACTACATAAATAATGAAGGTGGAAGTGCTTTTTGGCCTACACAATATAGTGGATTGCAGCTGTGCTAAACGGCTAGCTACAGGTCTGTACACAGAAGTTTCTCTTCATTTCATGAAAGGCCTGAAACATTTTCATCTGCTTGGGCTTTCTTCTGTTGTATTATCCTGCTTTAATTATCTTTGAAAGCAAGGGAAAAAAAGAGACTTCCTATTCTCTAACATGTTGATATTTTTTCCCCTCGGAGTCAAACATGTTCAAGACTTCTCTGGAATATAGACACTTGAATTATTTTAAAAGGACATGAATCATTAAAAACATTTTCCTCAAATAATCAGATAGCTAACTTATATGTTTTAGCATTCTAGAACAGAACTTTTAAAACCTGCATTGCTCAAAATGACAAAGTCTGCATGGACTCAAGTTCTTGCTGGTATCTATCTCAGGCTTGAGCTTCTATGTCAATTTCACAGACTTAAAATAGAGGGAGAACTCACAATGTGGGGTGCTCCCTTAAAAGAGAAAAGATATAGTGTTTCCATTAGTTTCTCTCTATTAGTTGTGTGTTTCACAAAACTTTTAAGAGGACCAGCCTGTCAGGTTTGGTGACAATCAGCCAATAGATTAGGAAGCTCGTCAGGACTGAGAAGATGAACCTGGACCATTAGGTCTTAGGAAGCTGTACTACAAATAAGCAAGAAAACTGTGTTTCCTAAGATTTCACATAAAGAATCATATAAGTTAGTCACAAACGGGAGAAAAATCAATGAAAAGTGCTCGGGTCAAATTACAGCTCACTGGAATGCAGGTGGGTAACTGCTGATAAGGATAGGTGCTGATCTGCTTCTCTCCTCCAGCCCTTTCTTCTCTCAAAGAAAAGGGTAATTCCCATGCTTCTTTTAAGTGTAAGGATTATATTTGACTAAAAGGCATGCTTTTTCAGGCCCATTAATATTCCGGAAAAGGTGGGCCGAAAAAGGTAATAGTTAATAGGTTTGGGTTTGCATGCCCTCTCTGGCTGCATGGTAGCCTCAGTGACGCTTTTGATCACATCTGATTTTTCACTTCAGGACAGCTCATCTCGTGTCTATTCTTGTTCTGGTTTTAAATTCACACAATAGTTCAGTTACCAAATCCTAAGAGAACATGTAAGAAACCTGGATTCCTTTTTAGTTGGGTTTAGTTGACTTCAAACAGTCTGCACGAAACTGCATGACAGGCTCTCAGTGTTCAGTTTTTCTGATGCAAAGGTAAGTTACATTTACATATCATGAAGAAGCCAATCACTTTAGAGAGTTCTTTTTTCTTCTGGGCTACTGCCCAGTACCCCTAGAACAGCAGCAGCAAACACCACACTGCCACTACTGTGGTAGGGTGACGCAGAGCCCCTATGCATGTTCCAGGACAAATTACAGCACGTAATGTCCCACTCATTTCAATGGGATTGCTCCTGACGTGAGAGCACCAGAGCCTTTCCATTGTCTAGCAGCTGTCTCCTGAATATCAAGGGCACAGAGACCATACTTACCTCAGTGCTTCTTTCAGAAAGAGCGAGTATTTCTGTTGCCTTTCAGATAAGGCAGAGATTTGGAGCCTTACACACCCTGTAAACAAACTGGAAAGCCTAACTCCATTTAATGTTAAACTTTAATTCTACTTTACCAAGCAAACTGCCACCTGGCTAAGGAACTGCAACATAATTCACTGCCAGGGTTACCTGGAGTAACATGTATATATTGTGTAATTTAGGTAGGTCTTAGTTATTCAGTGCACTTTGTGACTAGATTTCCCAACTGGCCCTTTTATGTTGTGCTGGGAGCATGAATGAAGGAAGAGCAGAAATTACATCAATTAGAGATTTATCACAAAGGTAACTTTCTTGAGGTTACGAGCCAGAAAATTAAACATTAAACTGTTAAAGAGAGCACTAAAACCATGATTCCGTACAGTAAATACCAACATCACACAAACCTTATGATAGCTCCCAGGCGTAGATCAAAGTTTTTCTGGACAATCTCAAGCAGCTCTTCTTCAGACCTGTCTGATGTTCCATAATGAAACACTGAGATGGCAAGAGGAGCACTCAGACCGATAGCGTATGATAGCTGTAGAACACATGCAAACAAACCAAATATGGTTAACACAGTCCTTCCCACTTTTTTGCTTAAGAGAAAGGAAAGGCTTATCACATGTATCAGGGTAGAGTTTATGAGCATCTCGTCTCCATAAAGCAAACCAGGACATATATGCTTTTGCTGTTTGTCTTCTATGTTAGAAAATTATGTTTTCCTCAGAGAATGTTCAGCCTGGTCAAATACCAGACCCTGGTGACATTCCTAAAAAGCAAAAGAGGTACTTTTTTCATGCAGTTCCCTCTATTACCCGTCTTGCCCTTTCAGTATGAAAGTTGGTTAGCATGTATCCATAGGAAAAACAGTTGTCAACCTCAGTGGAGGCTGGGAAAGTCTCAGTGTAGCACACAGATATTAATGGGCTGAAAAAGCTTTTGCATTTCCCCTTCATACATTTTTTCCTTTTGTTAATCTTCAATCCAGCCCTCCATGACTTCGCAGGACATTGGCTTCTCTGCCCTCCCACCCTCCCATCTTATCTTCTTTGCTAATATCTGAGATCTCCATAATTTGCTCTTAAAAAAAATCAAACTTGACTTGTCTAGAGACAAGTTCATGTATTTAAGGAAGGTCTCTGAGAATTACTGGAATGACAACATTTCCACTTAACTCAAAAATAAAGACAGTGATGTAAGTGTTCAAAAATAACACTCAAAATGTGCATGCCAAGAAACCAGAAGTTTATCTTCAGTCCCCTCAGAAAAAAAAAAAAAAAATTATCAACAACTGGCTAGCCAGCATTTTTTTGCGCTTGGTTTATTCTCATCTCCCCTTTTCCTGACTAACTCCAAACCATCAGGTATCAAACTCATAAACAACATCTAAAGCAAGGAGCCTTGTCCCTAATTGAGATGTCTGGGTACTTATGTCATTGATCATAACTACATCCAGTGGGCTTCTCCTCTGGTCCATGGAGAAAGTAAAATGTTTTAAACACAGCTCTGCAGCAAAAAATCAGCCAGATTGCTGCTACATTTTACTTATTTAGTAAATGAGTTATGTAATGAGTTATTACATAGTAGCTATTCAGAACAAGTATAGCTTGTTCTGAAGGCAAAAGAAACCAAGGCAAACCTCACTTGTTTAACAGTCACATTGGGTTCATGTTCAATGGTGAAACAGTCTAGGTTTCAAAACACCTCCTTCTACTTCTTAGACATCGTAATAACAAAAATTCCTGCACAAGGAAGGAAGTGAATTTTCTTCTGATCATACAAGAACAATGAAGGTTGTTCTTGCTTTAAACTCCTAAAAACAAATGAATTTTGCTTTTAATCACAGCTCACACCACAGGAGTGTACCAGGAGTGTGAATATAATTTCAAATGCAGCTTAAAACAGATGAAGTTACAACCAGTATGACCATACAGTACAGCAAGTTGCACAACTGGACCTAGACAGTGCTACCATAACTGCAGTGTGCTGTGCAGCCCAGGTTGGAATGTCTCAGAATTTGGTGTATTACTTTTGTGGCTTGTCTTACCTGGATTAATACTCTTTTGCAGAGACCGGCTTTCACCAGAGATTTTGCAACCCAGCGAGCTGCATAGGCTGCGGAACGATCCACTTTGGAGGGATCTTTCCCGGAGAACGCCCCTCCACCATGGGCTCCCCAGCCTCCATATGTATCAACAATGATCTTCCGACCAGTCAGTCCAGCATCAGCCTGGAGGACAAACAATTGAATATATCCAGAGACACAAGAGTTCATCCAATCCCATATTAGGTTAGTGGGTATAGATTTGTTTGGTATTTGCCACAGACGTGACTCTGTTCACAGTGCTCACGTTCGCATGCAGCTGTTTAATGGAAGAGTTGTCTACATGAATGGAATACTTTATAGAATAAGCTCTACTAAGCCATCCTCTGAGCTACTGTCACTTTTGGAAACCCTTAAGAATGTGGTACAACTGTAAACACGGCAAAAAGAAAGCTCACTTCAAATGAGCAAGCATGAAATAGTGTTTCTGGGTTACTGGCCAAAGTCTTCACTCAGCAACACTTTGATGAAGGCCAAGAATTTAGAGAAACAAAACAGATCACATATGACCTAAAAGGTTAACAAGCTTCACTTAGCTAGCTATACTAAATGGGAGGCAGGGGCTTCATGTAACTGCAACTCAGTGCTGTCAGAACTCGAGTACTGAGAAACCCTAACTCAGTGCATATTAATGGTTCAGTAGTGACACACGATACTATTCTTCCTTCCTTCCTGTGCTCCTGATAATGGAGTCCCATGCTCTTGCATAGACTTTTTTCTGCCTCCTACAACTTGATGAACTGATCCAACTTGCTCAATCAGTGGAGAATTACTGCCTCTCTGTCCAATTGGCAAAGTTGGCAATGTCATGCTGATAAATGAACTCCAGAGTGCTGAGAAATTCCATTCTGAAAGAAGATAAACTGCACTAATTCACTATTTTTATATCCCCAAATAAGCAAAATGGGAGCAAAGCTGACATTTATTTCTCAGTGAAAGGAGTATGCCTACATCATGAGTGTACCAGTGTGATCATAAGCACACCTTGTAGTTTTAATCCTTATGAAGTCTTCATATAAAACTCTACAGTTTTGTGTAACATAATTTTTTACAATTTCATGGCAATAACCTTTTTATCTAGTAGAGCACATGGTAAGCAGAACATGCATCAAATTCCAGTGACTACTGAGATTTAATACATTAAGTCTCCCTCAAAATTCATTCCACTTTATGAATAATTTCAATGTAGATATTACATCTATTGTTATTTCTGGTTTTGATACTTATTGTAAAAGTGAAGAGATACTTCCAGCATGTAACTCAAGGGCTGGCAGTTGCTCATTTAAAATACTTTCTGAAAGTAAGACAAAGATCCAAGAATCTGTACATTTGGCTGTTGAAGCAGGTAGAGCTTCAGTTTAGATACCAGCTATCCAGTAGGAAAACTCCAGTAGAGATGACTGAAGCTTTCTTAAAAAGGTATAGACTTTGTTGGTTAAAGGTATACTCGTTCAGCGTACTATTTTTTAAGAGAACATTTACAAGCACGTGGCAAAGTGGAATCCAAGTCTGTATAGGCTGTCATTTTTCAAAGTACCATACCTTAGGACCACCTTCCACAAACTTTTCACTTGGAAGGAGATGATAAATGGTGTCTGCATCAAGATACTTCTCTGGAATGACTTTTTTAACAACTTTCTCCATTAGCTCCTTCCGTATTTGTTGCAGTGATATGTCTGGGGCATGATTTACTGAAATCACCAGTGTGTGCACACGGATGGGCTCGAGTGTGCCATTGCACTCCTTGTATTCCATTGTGACCTGGTGAGGAAGAAAAAGGACCAGGAACACTCAGGGCCAAAAGAACCAGTCTGAAAGCTGCAAATGAACCTCAGTTACTTTCTGCAGCCAAAAATACACAGATGAAGGGAAGGGATGAAAAATTATGGATTGTTGTCAATGTTTAAAGTCACTGTAAGTTAAAAAAAACCCAGAAAATTCTGAAGTACTACTGCGAGAAGAGTTAACTAAAGGACATTACACATATTGCCACAGAAAAGCAAAATAACAAGAAAGCTTCAAAATCCTATGATTTTAGCAGTTGATGCTAAAACCAATCCTGATTTGGTATGTTAACATAACTTCAGAAAGAAGATCACCAAAGTAAAGCCAAAATAAATTTCAGAGAACTCTGCTAAAACAAGCAACTGTAGATCAGATGACAGGCTGTATCCTTTGCTCCCTACCACATGGCTTTTATGGACATGCAAATATATACTGGCATTGCTTCATCCTAAGTATCTGTTTTCTTACAGACTAAAGTGGTCTCTCTACTTTCCCACTCTTCATGGTTGAATAGGTAATCATAAAGAAATCAGCTTATTCACATGTTCACATAGTCCTGTCAAGAGGTAAGGACACAATCTATGTTGTACTGCAACAACAGCAGCAGCATAACCCAATGCACTTCCACACTAAATACCAGAACTCCAGACTAAAACATCTTGCTGTCTTGGAAATGCCTTGTGTATGGCTTTCCTTTCCTTTCCTGTAGATTTTACAGCCTGGAAGACAGAACTTACTGTGTTTGAGACATCCAAAGTGCATCACACTTAGAGTAGGCTCAGTGACTCGGCCACTCAGCTCTGCAACACAGCTGTCAGTGGCTCATATTTTTTCCCGAAAAAAAAAATAAGGAAAATACAAGTATTGCTAAGACACTGACAGAACAGTTTAAACAAACCATATGTGCTACATACAAATGTACCTTATAAACACACACCTCCTTGGATCATAGTAATGACAGCACCATTTTTGACAAACATGAATTCTGATACAGTAGCAGATGAGGTACATGATTTCTGTTGTTTCTCACCTTTACAGTTTATGCATCTATGTTACAAACCTGTGTTTTCCCATCTGGTCTAACCCAAGGCCATGTTCCATTCCGTTCCAGAGCCCTTATGCTTGCATTTAGTTTGTGTGCCAGGAGGATTGTTAAGGGCATACATTCCTCAGTTTCATCAGTGGCATAGCCAAACATCAAACCCTACAATGAAAAACAGGGAACTGCATTGAAAAAATGGGAAAACAAGCCACTCATTTCCATGTTCTCTTTCCATTTCTGCACTTGTCTTCGCCACATAGCACTTTAAATTTACCCAAGCTCAGCAAGAGACAGCAGCAATATGCAGAGTTAATGCCTATAATCAGTCTGAAATAACATTTATGTTCAAGAATCAGAGCCACAGCAGGGGCTGGTTCCCAAGAATGGTTCTGCCTTAAAAATCCATAGGATACCTCATCAAAGTTTTCCTACAGCTTGTAAGACTGCTTAGTCTTCTCCCCACAGGTGACAACTGAAATCTCACAGCAGTTGTTGCCTAAGAAGTAAAACTAGGCTCACCAAGGACTTGAAAGACCAGAAACTAACCAACTGATAGAAACGAAATTGTAGCTCTGTCCCGTTAAGGCCACTGGATATTTGAAAAGCTACTGTCCTTGAAACTAGTGAAGGCTGTGATATATTTTTGCACTTCTGGAGATTAAAAGAGTTCTAACTCTCACAGTTTGCACAATAGTGTTTAAGGAAAGTCTCTGGTCCAATGTAATTGCAATTGCTCGCACACACCTAGATTTAAGAAAATGCCTGGAATTACCTGATCCCCTGCTCCAATGTCATCGTCGCTCTTGCCATGGGAGATCGCATGCTTTATCTCTTTACACTGCTGTTCCAAGGCTACTAAAACTGTGCAAGTCTTGTAGTCCAGCCCTAGTGAAGGGAGTTTTGTAAAGTTAGGTTATGCATTCCTGAGAGTTCACAAATTGCTAGAGAAATTTTTAAGGGTTATTTAGCTTTCTTGGCTAAAACTTTTAAAACTCTAAGCACGTAAACTTCATATACTACATTTTTATTGCTAACAGAAGCAGAATTCCCATTCATGTGAACTTCAAGTGTCTTATGCACTCCAAGGACAAGGAATATCAGCATGAAAGCTTTCATAGCACAAATCTACAGGTGTGCGCTCACCTTCTGATTTTTGTGCACAAACTAGCACTTCTGCATCAGAGAAGCAAGAGATACCTGGCTCTTTCAAGAATAAGTCTTTTGTAAGTATGCCACCTTAAAACAGTTCCTTCAATACTACACACTCAAAATTACATATCAACAATATCTGTGAGTTTTCTCCTAGGCCTGGATACATATTTCACTTTATTCTCTAGAAGACCATCAGAAACATGACTTTTGCTATATGCAGAACAGACTTAAGAACGAACACATGTAGGATCTCACTCACCTTTGGAAGAGTCATCATATCCTATATTCTTAAGGGTATCTCTTACAATTTGTTGGTAATCTACTATAGCCTGGGATGTGATCTCTCCACAGAGCAAAATCATTCCAGTTTTTGCCACACACTCTGGAAAAAAGTACGAAATATCACTATTTTACTGCTACTGTTTTACAGTTACACAGAGAGACCCTGAAGACGGTTCTACAAGCAATAGGATTAATCATAGGGGAAACTCAGTGTAAAGCCTTAGCCTTATATTTTACACCTAAAATTCTGTGTGCAACCACTCTTCTCATTAGCTGATATGAACATTTAAATGCCTGCATGTGGTGGGGGTCCCCTGTACTCAGTCATCCTATCTCCACACTGGCCAGCAGAAAATATCCATAAGAATAGATCAAGTATATAGGGCTGTGTCTCCAAATAATTCCCTGGTCTCCAACAATTTAAGGTCAGAATTTTCTTGAAGCTAAAGGGACATTATTTATTAAGAGATGGCATTACCAGTCTTTGATATATTTTTGTTACAGTAATTCATCCAGTTGCCCTTGGCAACCACAAAAACTTTTAGCTTCTACAAGATCCTGGAGCAACAAGCAATGGAACTTCATTACAAATTTTGTGAAGAATTGTTTCATATTTTATTTCTTTGTTTGTTTCAAGAGTCCACTTGGTTTCCAAACTTTTCCATTGTATGTAAAAATACATAGCAAACAATCATAAAAAAAATTAGCACAACAATATGGCCTACTATCTATGTAATTGTGTCACATCTCAGTCTTCTATCTTGGTAAGACAAACTGATGCTGTTTCCCACATCTCTTATTACACACTTCTTGTTGTTATTTTTGCAGCATTTGTATGTTACCCTCTTCAACTTTTCAGCAGTTTTGGAACCATAACTGCCTGCAATATTGAAATACACCCTTCATCAAGTCTAACACCCATGCAAACCCCTCCCTCCACATCTCACTGCTCACATCTGTGCATCAAGGTTCACATGAAATTTTTCAGATGAAGTGTCATATTAGATCACTGTGTTTATGGGATGCAGCTAGTCCTCTGCGTTGAAACTATGGCCTTGATGGCTTGTTCTCAAAACAAAATTAGGTTATTAGGAAAGCCCTTTAGACACATTCCCTTTCTGTGTCTATTCCTCTGTGGCAACCCATCTCCTTCCAGTTGCATAATATGTTCATAGTCTCTGTGGGTAATATTGCTAACATATGCAGAATACAACATAGTCCTAATGGAAAGTCCTACAAAAAAAAGCAAGCCACTTTGATCAGAATCACATTTAAATTAACTTATCCTTCTGTAAACAACAAGCATCACCCTATTCACTCTAAGAAGACATGCACCTTGACATCTATCTTTCCTCAGTTCTTTTTTTCCCTGATTGTCTTAGTTTCCTCTTTATTATCATCCTCAACAGCCATGGTTTTCCCTGACAACAATGGCTTCTCCTGCTCTATTTCTTACATTTCATAATTTTTAATTTGCGCTGTGCTATATGTACTTCTGTTCATTTTTTGCAGCTTTTTTTCTGCCCTCTCTTCTCCTCTGAATCAGTGAGCCACAGCTGACCTCTTGACTGATTGTGGAAGTCTTGAGTGACAGCCAGCTTTTGGAAGAATTTTGGATTAAAGGATATTATATCACACTGACTACTTGTTGTATTTCATTAATCTGTTTTTCTATCTGTATTGTACTCACCACAGGCAACCTTGGCATCTGGATCAATACTGAGATGAGCATCTACAACAGCATCACTTATCTGATCACATAATTTATCTAGAAGATAAAAATAAGATAGACATCACATTTCTTTTTGCAATTAAAAAAATTGATTTCTTAGTAAAATTTATTTCACAATGGGCAAGAGACTTCTGCTTATAGGGCATCTGCCAAGAAGCAATTTTACCAAACTATACTCTGAAATGAATTACTTGTTTTAATCTACATCTTATAGCTGTCAGAGATTTTCACTTCCAGCAGTGTTTATACTTTCTGTACCTGCACTGTGGACCTCTGAAATCTCACATGTGAACGTTTTCAGATGACAAGAGCCATTGCCCTCCCCACAAAGGGTACAGTGTATTGAAGTCCACTCCTGCAATTAGGCACTGCTATCTGGCTCATTAAAGTTTAGAAAAGCTTCTGCAAATTTTCTCTCGGGGACAAACACTGGCCCCTCACAAGTTTTCACAGTTATTTCTGAGCACTGGTCTTTCTGTTTTAGGGAAAAAATCACTGCAGAAAAAAGGTTTTACCTATTCTGTCTTTAGCACCTCTGACCTGTTGTCCAAGTAAGACCTCAGTAACACAAATACACTTGGTTTATTACAAGTTAATGACCAATTTTGTGGACAAATTGAGACCGTCTCATTAGCGTAACGGGACCAGGTAAAAGCAATCCATGGTAGTACTTCCAAAGTGTGTGTTTGAAAGGTTGCATGTCTGCAGAACTAGCATGAGGTATAGGAATTAATTTTCACCCACCATCATTACAGAAAAAATTTATCCAAAATAAGTTCAGCCACACAGATGCTCAGGTGGATCTACAGCACTGTCTGTATCAATAAGCCAGGTGCCTATAGAGTTTGTAATAGTCTGTGTAATTATACGTGGGATTGCCAACCAAAAATAACTTCTCTCAAGGGCCCACAATAAAAATTAATGTAGAATCATAATTGCATGTCCACCTTAAACTACTTATTTACTTTTACAGATAATCTAGTTTGGAAGCAAAGAAACATCTGAATGAAATTATAAGGCAAGAGTAGAGTTATTCTGCATCACAAAAGATCTGTAATTCAATGCAAAGTTTAAGTGCAAACTGAATTTTAGTAAAAGAACTGTAGGGTCATATCTTACAGTACAGTCTAAAAGCAAGGAAAAGTGAGATATGCTAGCTTCAAATAGATAAACTATTGTGCCATCAATATCACCACACTCAAATACAAACTAAAACCAAAAGCAAAGCATGAATGCTAAAAATACATGTGCCCCTTCTATTCACACAGGCTGCAGTGGCTGCAATGTCAGCATGAGATTTTTTTATGGAAGGGTAGAGGTTGCTTCTTTACCAGCATAATTATCACAACCTGAATCAGCAACTTCTGTATCTTTTATGTTCTGTTTCTAGCATTTTCCCCAAACAAGCTGAAACTACACATTTCACTGTGCACTTCTTGAGCATTTGCAAAGGAAGCCCAACAATTTAGAGGGTTGGGGAAAAAAGCAAAACAAAAAAAAGGAACAAAAACCCCACCAACTTGATAGCTGTAAAGCTTCATTATTTCCCAGCTTAAACATTATCTTCCTGAAATTGCTAGCACAACGACTCAAAGATTACAAATCCTGGTTCTACCTGGTGTGATACCCTGAGAAAAACTGAGCTCTGAAGATTGTGAAATTGATTCACATTGAAGAGTCCAATGCTCAAGCAGGAATGGCATAGCCTGCAACAACTGGTAAGTTTTATTGCCTTCAGCTTCGTGCACAATTACAACAATGAGTGCACTGTTTTAAAGCAAACAAGTGGTTATGGTGGTTCAAGATACGGTGCCATGTGCTGCAGTGGTTTTGTAGTTGGAGTGTGCAGTAGGAGTCAGGGAGATAGGCTGGTATAACTGGTTTCGTGCTGTACCATTCCCACCTGATGAGTAAGAGTCCTGAGAATACGGACACATACAAAAACTTGTCTGCAAATGTTCCATGTTGGACACCACAATTTTTTTCTCACTTTTTTTTTTCCTTTGGTCTTTCCTTCTACTATGAAAAAAGTAAGAGGTAATGGTTTTTTTAGTCCAAACATTAAAATGCTCCATATGAAAGTGCTGACACAGAAGGAACCATTACTACCCTTATTGTAAATTTGAGTCACTATTGTGCCTCTTGGAGGCCCAAACTTTCTCCAGTCCCTCAGTTAACATAGTTTCTAGATACATATTTGTTTAAACAAAGCTGTATGAAAACACAGCAGATTTTGGTGAACAGCAATTAGAGCAGAAGCATTGTCTGCAGTTCTAGATCCAGGAATACAATGGCTTTGTACATCCTACATCGTATGTAAACTTGTGTTAGGGAGAGGAGTGTGACAAATAGACATGTACAGGATTACAGCAGTAGCTGGAATACAGGTCTGATGAAAATTAATGCTTATTATTCCAAACACTTCAGAGATTCGGAGTTCAATGACCACTTATAATATACATGTGCATAAAGTATTATTTTTTTCATTACAGAATAAAAAGTAAAAATGTAATGCCAGTACACGTGGCAGCCACAAGTCCACCTGTACAAGACCAATCCATGCTTTTCTCAAGCAAATTTTTTAAGTCATCTATACCAGATATATTGCGTACTAAACAAACAGGACAAATTCTAGTTGAGTAAACAAAGACACTAATCTGAAATCTATTAAAAAGAATCATTTGGGGTTTTCCATTAATTTCTCTGTTGCAAGAGATATGACTGAACTTTCATCAGATAGCATTCTTCACTGAGAACCATTTATAAAAACCAAGATAAAATCAGAATTTTTACTTACCAGAATGTCCTTCAGCAACAGATTCTGAGGTAAAAAGAAACCGTTTTTCTTTTTTTGTGGTTTGAATTGACATGTCTTCATATGTTTCACAAGCTTGCAAATGAGAAAGACCCAAAGCAACTGGGCTACAGAACAAGCACAGGCAAAAGACGAAGTGAAAACGTTAATACGCCTGTGCAAACAGCTGACGTAAGTGCTCCTGCCTCTGTTTGCTCCTCGGAAGTTCAATAGGTTAAGACTGATGTGTGTGGCTTTTACTGCCTTTTATGCACTGCTACAGGAACTTCTTTCACAAGACTCTTACGTGTGGTTAACCTCCTGCTTTTGCACACTTGCCCGAGCCTCCATTCTTAATTGCTCACTAAAAAGCACTTCAAGAGGAGATGCTATCTCAGCACCGAGATGTTATCTGAATTGGCAGGGACAAATGATGTTTTCAGCTAGGCACAGTATCCACAGTTCATACTCATCTGCAGTGGTGAACCACGCAGAAATGTGTCTCTCTTTAGGTGAGAACAAATGTTCATAACCGTTCCAGGTGGTAAGCACTGTGCTCTTCTCCCACAATACTGTTCATATCAGGGGTTAAGTCAGGAGCTGTAGAGCTACAAAACAGCATGCTCTGTAGAAACAGGGATGAAGACAGGGGGTTCACTATAAGCTACCTTGAATTCTAAGACCAAAAGCTATGCCCCAGCTCAATGAATTTTAAACTTGTTAATGGTCAGGCTCTCACAATTCATATTACACACCCCTTTTCTCCTACTGTTTGACTTGATGGAGAGACACGTAGGGAACAGCTAGATTCAAGTATCCAAACTAAGCGAGGAAGTGCTGCCCATTTGGAAGCACTATTTCCCTTTGGCTTATTTCATACATAGACATATGCAATATAGTGCAACAACACACCAGAGCACCTGAGTGCAGCACAGTATGAAAAGGCTACCTAGAAACAACATGTGTGTGGTCTTAAAAACCCTTGTGCTGCTGAGCAGCTCTACACTGCTGCAATACATTTTGTTAAGCTCAGCTTCTCTAAATCATGCCATTTCTGAAAATGTTGCTCCATAACCTAGGCTTGTTAAACAGCAGCAAGAGTGGCACTGAGGCACAGGTAAAGCTTCAGTGACAACAGAAGGCTTTACAACTGCCCGTCACAAGCAAACCACATTCCTTACTGGACCACCAGCAAACGTCTCACAAGAGATGTCTGTTCATTCTGCAAAGAAGTCTTCAATGCTGGGAAGCAGCATGCCTTCATTTCAAGACAGACACTTACCAGTAGTGAGGTATATGACGTAATAAAAGCAGTAAAGAAGGTAAGGCACTTAAACAAATGAGACAAAGCCAACCATCAAAGAAAAAAAAAATAAAGCAAAGCTGTTTCTCAGCTGCAATGACTGGAGAAGGCACAGCCTAACTATGGTAACTCAGGTGATAGCTAGTACGCTGCAAGAAGCTTGTCACTCTCAGTGAAAATCACCTCTCTGGAAAGTGACACATGAAGACCTGACTTAGTTGAAGGAAAGAGGCCATCTGCCTCCCTTTTGGTTTTGTCTTTTTTTTTTTTTTAAATTCTAGGAACGAAGTTTTCCATACATAAAACCAAAAAAAAACACCAGTTAACCAGAGGACATTGATTGCTTAAGTGTTTGTGGATAAGGGCAATAAAGAGAAGACTTTAAACCACAGTTAAGGATTATCAGAAATGCCCTATGAAATCCATTAAATTGAGTAATGAAATCCATTAACTCATGTATTTAATTGGCTTTCTTTCATATCGGAATGTACTGATATTATTTACTGATATTTTTACGATATATTTACTGATATTATTTCTCACAGTTGCTACTATGAGTCTGGGCATTTGGTAGGGAGCCAGGTCCGAACCATCACACTATGATACAATGAAAAATTAAACTAGTCATACAGAGATTTGCGTGCCTGGAAGTATTTCAATTCTGTGTAATAAATGCACTTCAAACTCAAGCTACATGTTCCATAAAACACTTCATACAAAGCAGTGAAAAACATTCATATGAATAATTTCAGTCTACTGCATCATTAATCCCTACTGCACTACATTCTAAAATGTTTGTGTTTTACACTGTTGCACCTGGAAAGGTGTTGGAACAGCTCATTCTGAAGGCCATTTCTATCCACATGGATAAAAAATAGGAGTAGTCAGCAGGGATTCACTAAAGGGAAATCATGCTAACCAATCTGATCGCCCTCTACAATAGGACAACTACCTGAAGGGATGAAGGGACAGCAGTGGATATTGTCTACCTTGACTTCAGCAAGGCTTTCAACACTTTCTCTAACAATGTCCTCATAAGTAAGCTCAGCAACTGCAAGATGGACAAGCGGACAGTGAGGTGATTTGAGAAGTGGATGAATGGCAGATCTCAGAGGGCCATGATCAGTGGCACAGGGTGTAGTTGGAGGCCTGTCACTAGCGGTGTCCCCCAAGGTTCAATATTGGGCCCAGTATTGTTTAACTTGTTCATCAATTACTTGGATGAAGGGGTAGAGGCCTCCTCAGCAAATTCACTGATGATACAAAGCTGGGAGGAGTTGCCAGTACCAGAGGTATCATGCAGCCTTTCCAAAGTACCTTGACAGGGTGGAGGGAGCAGCAGAGCAGAAATGTCTGAAGTTCAACAAAGGCAAGTGCAGGGTCCTGCACCTGGGGAGAAATTACCCCAGGCATGAGTAAAGGCTGGGGTCTGACCTTCTGTGGAGAAGGACCTGGGGGTCCTGGTGGACAACAAGCTGTCCATGGGCCAGCAGTGTGTCTGTGTGGCCAAGAAGAGCAATGGGATCCTGGAGTGACTTAGGAAGAGCCAGCACATTGAGGGGGCTGATTTTCCCTCTCTGCTGTGCCCTGGTGAGGCCACATCTGGAGTGCTGTGTCCAGCTCCTGGAACTGGTCTAGCAGAGGGCAAGAAAGATGATGAGAGGACTGGAGCATCTCTTTTATGAGGAAAGGCTGGGGGAACCAGGCCTGTTCAGCCTGGAGAGGAGAAGACTAAAAGGGAACCTTATCAACGTATATAGGTATCTAAAGGGGGCAGGTGCCAAGAGGTTGGATCCAGACTCTTCTCAGTGGTGCTGAGCAATATAATGACAGGCAATGAGCAGAAACTTATGTACAGGAAGTCCCACCTGAATATGAGGAAGATGTCATTTAACTGTGCAGGTTACTGAGCACTGAAACAGGTTGTCCAGAGAGATAATGGAGTCTCCTGCTCTGGAGATAAGCCCTATGGACACAATCCTGAGTAATGAGCTGTAGGGCACCCTGCTTGAGCAGAGAGTTGGACCAGATGACTTCAAGTGGTCCCTTCCAACCTTACCTATTCTGTGATTGTGTCTTATACAATATTCTCACTCAACATATACTCCTCAGTAGGGTATACATATACTCCAAGCCCAACCTTGAAAGTAAAAGGGGAAAAAAAATTACAAGAACAGTCAATATTTTCTGAGTCCTGCATTAAAAGTATAGCAATATGGCAGAAAATAAACCCTCTGGTCTTGGGAGATCAGAGGGGCTGGGTGCCACTAGGCTTCATTTCTGATTATAACCAGCTATAGGTCTGGTTATGTTCAGTGAGATCCCAGGTGCACAAATAGTGTGGAATTTTCCTGTGTTCCAGCAAAATTCTGGGAATTTTCTCCACTGAGAAGAGCCTGTATCCATCCTCTCGGCACGCCACCCCTCTCCCACCCTTTAGATGCCCCAAAACTGGACACGGCACTCCAGATGTGCCTCACCAGGGCTGAGCGGAGGGGCAGGACCCCCTCCCTCGACCTGCTGGCAACGCTCTCCCCTTTCTAAAAAAAAAAAACGAAACTTGTTTGGGGAATATCAATTGGTTCTCCGAGAGTCATGTGTTCCCTTTGCCTCTTCCGTGGGTGCTTCCTTGGCCAGCGTCGCCGGACTCGGGATGCTGCAATGGAAAAACGGAGAGACCAGCTGGAAGGCTTTTTAAAAGACGGGGGTCTCGCTTCTTCGGCCGCCGAGCTCCCAGCACCGCCGGCCTCCCCTCGGCCGTGTGCGGTGACCAGCGGCGGCAGCGCCGGCCCCTCGGCGGGGCCGTGAGGGGAAGCGCCGCCCCCGCCGCGGCCGCGGGCGGGGCGCAGCGGGGCCATGTCGGCTCCGCGGGCCGCGGGCGCCGAGCGCGGCCGGGGGCTGGAGCCCGAGCCCGAGCCGGGCAGCTGCAGCACCCAGACGTCGCACCGGCTGCTGGCCTACAGCGATGCGCTGCTCTCCATCATCGCCACCGTGATGGTGAGCGCAGGGCGGCGGGAGCGGGGCAGGGAGGGAGGGAGGGAGGGAGGGAGGGGCAGTGCCGGAGCGGCCGGGGCCGGTCCCGCCTTTCCGGGTCGCGGCCGCGCCCGCCCGGCCCGCTCGGCGCTCCCGCGGGGCCCGGCCCGACCGGCGGCGCTGTCGCGACATGGGGCGGCGGTCCGCGAGCCCCGCGGTGTCGGCGGTGCCGGCCGTGGCCCAAAAGCGGATGTGGCTTCCGAGCTGCCCGTGGCCGCCCCGTCCGACGACACTGGCGGCCACCTGAAGTTTGTTACGTTTTTGGTGAAGCCCATGAAAAGAAACAGAATGCCATGTGCTAATAAGGTTTTTGTTATTTCAGATTTTGCCGGTGGCTCACACGAAAATACATCCTGATCAGGTAACACGTGTCTTTTGTTGTTCCTCGTGTCCTCCCAAGCAGATGTAGCATCCTCATATAGCAGTCCTGCTTCATTGCAAGTTTCAGATTTTAAAAAGCTGAAACCGATAAGTAACATTAAGCCCAGCAGAAATTTTGCATAGGGGATGACCTGGTGAACTTTGGCTGAAAAATTAAATAGCACACATTGTGACGTAAAGCCTGAATGAGCTGAATATTGTAGGCCACAGATTTTATAGTTACTTTTCTGTGAACAATGAATTGCCCGTCTGACCGAAACATCTTTCAGAAAGCATCTGCTCTTCTTGGTAATAAATCATCACTTAGAGAAGCAACTTATGTAGTGATGTCTGAGTGCTGGTGGGATAACACCATAGAGTCATAGAATTAACTGGGTTAGAAGAGACCTCCGAGATCATCAAG